CGATTAGGGACACGTTACGCGATAAACAGACGAGCAGCGAAAGATGTTGAATTTACAACCACTGAGCCTTCCTCATTGGTACATTCCTCTACTGGAACCAGAGGTGCACCAATGAGGAAGGCATCATGGTTGTGACCTTCCACCTACCGGACCATCGCGGGATATGTTCGCTATGAAACTTTTTCTCAAATCGAAAATCACCTGACGAGACATGACTACTGCAACTCTACTAGTCTACTCGCTCTCCGGAATGACTGACACAGGACGTTATAATTTTTATTTCCGGTCGAGGCTACTGTCCGAACTGATGAGTGAAGCACATCAAATATCAATGGTACAGCAAGCAGACCCTGGATTTCTGCCTCATTCTAAGGTATGCCAACGAACGTATCGCTGCGCCACTCTGACTAGGGAAAGGGCATTTGAACTCCCCAGGAGTGATCATACGATCGTGATCTCTGCAAACGATAGGGCGTGTGAGTGGGCGCAATTGGAGCGTTGTCAAGGCGGTTCTTCCATTAATAATGCTATCCTGAGTCTGCAACAATTAGCGGGAAGAATAGTTCTGGCTGCGATCCAACTCACGCCCCTTCGCACGTCCTACTATTTGCAGAAATCTCAACTATACACTGTCTCCTGGTTTTCAAATGACAGCCGGCAGTCGCTCGGCGAGTATGGCCCCCACACCATATTAAGAAGTCGGACAACTGAGAACAACCATAGTATCCTCTGTAGCCTTCACATTCATATCTCATTTCAGATGCTATTAATGGAAGAGATTCTACGTGTATATCGGCTGGTGAATCCAGCTTGCACAGCTCCACAATCGATCTCCACGACAAACGTTCAGAAAGACGCCAAGATCACGTCATCGTCTACGCCAGCTGTTGATCCGCAGGAACTCTCACAAACACTCATTGAGAATATGAATCGAGCCCTTAACTGTATCACAAATTCAAAACATTCATCAGCACCCATGGTAAGTTGTCCTAATCGATGAAAAATTTCGGGAGTAGTCCATTACAGAATTCTAGAAAGCCCAGATAAAATAGTGCAATCGATGGAACAAGTGTCAGAATTAGAGTACAGAAAATTTCCTATCTGCAACCGGTTTTCAGCATTGGACGAGAAGCGGGAGGCAAAGAGATACAGAGAGAGCGTTCGAGAGAACAGACAAAGGATGAGAGAAAAGGAAGACGAGAGAGACAACAGACACTCCCCGGCGGCTGTACAGCGATGTTAACTGAGTCAGAGTGAGCCATTAGTGGTGGGGGGGCTATACATAGAGTGATAGCCGCAGTGTCTTAGTGGCCAGGCTCTACGTGACAGAAGCAGTACTTGGTGCTAATTGCCGGCTGTCTGAGAATAGAAGATATTATTACTCGCGGCCCATTACCTTGTTTGCGCAAGGCCAACACGTGCTCGGAAGTTACGAGGCCTACACCTCGCGCGAGTGCTGTTACTTCTCGAATTCCTGAATTACATTCAAAAAGCGGGTAATCGAGAGGCAACTGAATAGAATTCCGATCCCCGTGAATAGGCTCTTAACACTAACGCTTGCGGATTCAAACCATTTTCAAATTTGTTTGACTAAAACCATACTAGCATTAAGGCTTTGAGACGGAAGAGCACAATCAGCACTGCGCATACCCACTCCCACCGAAAAAGTTTTGTATTCCAAGATTCATGGGCGAAGAATTATAAGGGTAAATATTTAGGAAGTCTTTTTTGAAAACCAGCTTCTGATGAGGCCGCGCCCAATTTGCGATCCGCCCTGAAGCTTTTAATCCAGTTACAATAGTTATATAAAAATAATTTCAGTTCAAGTGCAATTTTTCATCGGACGTATAGATACACGGAATGAGTGTCAAACAATTTTGGATATGTCTGGGGCTGTCATATTTTGATTCGAGGAAGAGGAAGTGTAAAGGTCGTTATTACGGGGACAAACCACAACTGCCAACCAGTATACTATACAATTTTCAGGATCCTCGAAAAGAACAACGGCTTCGCGGTCAGCCAGGATGGGATCACCTTGAAGAGCCTCTACACGTGCTTGTCACTGCAGTCGATCACAACCATATTGTGTTCGTTTGAATATTGTTAGAGCTACACTCTTTTTCGGTACGGACGCTAGGGCATTCCACGGAAAGGGGAGGAGGGGCCTCGGTTTAGCACGGCTTTCCAGCAAAGCCTTTCCAACAACTGTTGTCGCTTGCCCGCTTCAACTACGGGCGGAAATCTAGCTCGCGCATAGCCAATCAGAGTGATGAAACCTGGGCACAATATTCTATCCCCTAGTACTGTTCAGTGAGAGAGTCAACAACAACACAGAAGAAACCGTAGAAGAGGCCCTAAATGAGATAATCCTTTGATATTTGATTCGGAGCAGTGTACGTAGCGAAGAAACACTATGCGCGTGGATGAGAACCCAGACGACTGAAGGCGAAAGAGCGCAGAGATGCGCGAGAACGCAGCACCATATGCAAATAGCAATTGCGCATATGGGCGTTCAGAGAGTCAGTGCAGAGCCTCAGGCGTGCCATAAGCGCCATGACATCTTTGATGAAAGCTGTACAGTCAATGCGGCTGCAGACCTATGCACCTTATACAGGAGAAAGCACATCTTCACGATAATCACGAGATGCCTCCAAAGACAGCGCGCTGTACCACCTAGTTGGCGCGCAGGTGCCCACCTCTTCCCACTAGACGGAGAAAACCGGAGAAAGCTGGTGAAAGGGAGGGCAGTTTGTCAAGGGGGTGGTACCGAGGGATAAAGTTGAAGGAAGGGAGGAGGGGGGAAGGGAGGTCGCAGCTCATACTGAGCAAAAATCATCCACAGCGTGAAGGTGCGCTCTGATCCGACAGCTGTACCAAGCATGAGGGACAGCATAGACATCGAGTGTGACGGTAACCTCTTTGAGTACCCTTATATTTGTACAACTGAACAAACAACGAAATTTGAAGGTGAGGACGCGAACTGTGAGCTTTTTTTACAGACGCAGCGGTCACTCTCTTTGCTCGATGTTCAGCCATCGACGATGGCGAAAGCGCTTCATACTTAGCGATTCGGGCAGCTGCTTGGGGAGACGTGCAAGAGAATCGTATCTGTCGCTCCGCCGCGCGAGGTGATGTTCGCGGCGTTTTCTTAACTCGAGTTAACCTGTCGATTGAAGCACTGCCGACCTTTCATGTGAAACCCCGTACATCGTGAATGACATTCATGAGCTATTCTCGTTATGAATTGGCTTGGTTGTTCGCCACCTGGAACCATCGTCATTTCGCTGGCGCGAGACGTCGCACGCCGACGCCCTCCAGCGCAGCTGTGAATTACGATCCTCTTGTCACATACCCGTATTGCTTGGCAATACGCATGACCGCGCACGCGGGCGCTTTCACTAGCGTAAGACGGTTGACGCGCTTTCGCAACGGCCCTGGCCTTCCATTACATTCCAAATGAAAAGAGCTATTGTACCCGTTTTACTTGGTGTCAACTTACAGAAAGAATTGGTATAACGAATACAGAACAGCGCTAGAAGATGACTTCCAGGATTTCTGAATCAGTCAGTTGCAAAAGAATGCAAAGACGAAATACAACAGTTTACACTAATTCTATCATCAAATAAGCGCCAGTAGGAAAGTTACAGTTAATGGAGACCGTGCGGGTGAACGTGAAGGAAAAAACGAAAAAAAAAAGATTTGGTGCATCACAAATGCCGTCTGTGGTGTGCGCTCTGCTCGTGGTCGTGGTGCACCAATTCGAACGCCATCGATCACGAACAGGATACAGCATAGTGATCTACGAGATGACAATCTCAGTACAAGCGCCCCCTCCCCTAAAGTTCCCGGTTCCACACCGGTACGCCATCCTCCGCCTCCCTATGTTTTCCCGACTTCCCACCACTTTTCCCAATTTTCCAGTTTTTTTCCCCTAAAAAACTAATGTCACACGGTTAGGCGGAGGTGTCATGCAGCTAATCAGATGAGTACCGCCCAATAATAAATGTAGAGTAGTACTGCGGCGTCGCAAAGAAGGGGCGGGGTAGGGGGAGGGGGGTAGTGAGCATGGACAGGAAAACCCAGAAAAGTCAGCGATCGGAATGAACTTTCTGGATAGAGAAAGCCGAGAAAAGTCAGCAACCGGAAGAAATTAGTCGAACAATCTTACTCGCCAAAGATCTATTGGCACGAACGGCCAAGTACGCACAACCCCTTTTCCCCAGACGCCCAATACTACCACGGACTTCTGCCGACAATATAGCGATCAGGAAGTATGAACGCGACACAATCCATATAAGAACTTGTCACGCTATATCACTGAGAGCTTGAAGGCAAGCATAAATAAAATTGCTAACTGAGCTGGAGTGACCCCTCTTCAAGGCACACAGCGCCGATTAAAACTTTACCTCACTTTGATACACTAGTTCTGTCAACTTTTTGAAGAAGCAAAAAACCCACAAGGATTCGAGCGCTGTTCTACAATCTCTGTCCAACTAGAAAGCACTATAATCTGCAAAACACACTGCTCGGTAATGGTACCGATTTCAGGTGTCAGCAAAAACTTCGACAGGGTGTGGAAAGTGTACGCCATCTTCTGACGCCAGCTCACGACGACTATAAACGCTGTCAACTGATGCAGCTCGCAATCATAAATGGTACCTATCGTCAAGCCCAAGAAACAACGGCCCACGAATAAACCCAACAATATCTATCGAGGGTTTATTTTCATTTTGCCAATATAAAATTGTGTTCATACTTCAGATGATCTCTTTTTACATCTCACACTACACCGCAAACAATTCATAATTCATCTTTATTACAACTAAAACACATAAAAATACCCAACAGAGAACAACGGGTAACTGGCGATACCAGCTGGTGAAATTGCCCTACAAAACCTGAAATCATGTGTACAACTTGATCAGTTCCTCCCCAACTGCTGCTGGCGTCAATATGCCAAGATCCGTAAACAACAGGTTGATGTACTGAAATACAGATCTTTTTAACAAGAAAAACATGAGTAAAAATTCCTGGTTAACGTCGCGTTCATACCTTGCGGCACTAGCGAATCGTAGAATCATGGAACTGAAAATCCACGAGGTTGAGGTGCGTTCATACTTCGCGTCAACGTTTTAATCGTACTCCAGGTTTCCAACAAATAGTTCTACACTCAATAAGCTAAATCTACCTATACTTTCCTTCGTTTACGCTGGCGCGAGCTCCAACGCTGACGCGAAGTATGAACACACGGAGACGCCTCGATTGGTCAATCGATACGTATTTAAAATCCTTCACGGGATTACCGGATCTTCAGTGCTCTGATCTCCGGTGTCGCAAGTTATGAATGAAGTATAGCAAGAAACTAACCTGAGGGGAAGTGTAGTCAACCATCGGATGTTCCACGCTAAGGTCTCTGCTTTCCAACACAGAAGTACGATACTAAAGCAGTGAGCATGGAAGTGGATTACTCAAGGACTTCATTGGCGCTGTTTGGTTAAGAAGGGGCATTCTGCGCTTCACTTACCAGGAAAGGATGGTAGGTTTAAGTGGCCATTTGAATGAGATACATAACGATAGGTCCGCAAGGCGTTTATTTGAAAATGCAGATATTAGGTCATCCATTCAAACGCTGCCGCTACATATAGGGAATGGCAGAAAAAGCAATATGGCGGCGTAGAGCACGGGCTACTATACACATTTGGAGCTAGGTATTCTTACGCCGTGTATCCTGCTGAATATTGTACTGGACAACGACCTAGCCAGAAGAATGTATCTCCAGAAATTGAGACAGAAGCACGAGTGTCTTGTGAAAATCGGCGCCGCCGTTTTTCAAACAGGTGTATAACTAGGGAAAAGGGCGCCTGCCTCAATTCGAGTGGCACCGGACCAGTAGTTGTGTATAATGATGTTCTTGAAGTACAAGGTGAAAGTCTGGTTCAGGAGCCCGAAGAAGGAAGAGAGGAAAAAAAAACTTGTTGTTCTGGATGGTCCCATTATGCTAATCTATAAGGAAAAAGGATGGATGAAGTCAGGCACTGAATATCTGATCACAGAGCCTGGACCTTTGTCGAGTTTCCCCGCGAGACTGACATCCCTGCTGCAATTAACTGTACTGTCAGTTATGCGATAACATGATGGGATGGTTCAATGGGTGCTGGCCCAGTAGGTACCTAGTATCTCAGCTTTTACTTACAGAAGCACGAACGCAGTACTGATTCTCTTAGCTCTATGCGCAGTAATGTCATTCTAACAGCATGATGTCATGCACTCACAACTGGGGGGAAAAAAAAAAAAAAAAAAAAAAAAAGAAAGCGGGGGGGCAGGGAAGGTGCGGAAAGGAGGGAGTGGGTGGGGAGGGAAGAGGGGTGTGATGGAGCGACGGCTGAAAGATTGGAATTTGGACGGGGTTGAAAAACGGCCACCCTGACTTAGATTGAAATAGGTCAGTGGTCTTGACGTCCAAGCCGAAACTCACAATCGTCATATTTTGGCTAGCAATACAGATGATGAAGCCGCCCAAATTCTACACATGAGCAATTACCGTCGGGTGCAGTGGATGCATTCATCCTAAGCGATAACGGATTCCCCCACTAGCTGACTTTCTAGGCGGCCTCTATACTTAGATATAAAATCGCCCCGCTGTCCGGTCGTACAGGTAGGGCCAAAAAAAGTACATTCCCGCCGAGTCACATATGCATGCGATAGCTTTTCGCAGCCCAGGGACAGCTAAGGAAGTGGATAATCGCAGTACCAGGGCGGAAGATACCCAAGATCTTCCTCTATAAGCAGGAGCCGGCTGCCGCCATTCACCTTCATGTACACCAAAATATGAAGTCATCTCCAGTCGCGGCCTGAGTGGAGAACGCCTTTGGAATTCACGTGGCCTCCAAACAGCTGCGGAACTTCTTGAATGGAATTCCACCGATGGGGATAGACCTACCTTGGAGACAAGTACTCTTGACTGCCAATGACCCAAACAATCGAGCAGCTCGGCCAACGTTCCGCTACCGGGCCAGGACATCATCTCCCAACCGCCATTCACCAAGGCGCGGCTCCTGAGATTCGATTGGTTGTGCGACGCGGCCGTACCTTTGAATGGGGCATAGACGATATTTTCTTTGTAGCACCCGATTGCAAGGTGAGCGCGGGCGCGTCTACATCAAGTAACTTCGAGGAAGGATATTCCTCTACATGTGCGCATCGCTGCCATCTTACTTGCGGGACCTTGTGCTGCTACAGCGTTTTTGGCTTTGTGCCACCTACATGGGAATCGACAGGGTTTGCTGGAAAAACTCGCCGCCTACTTCGATGAAATTGGGGTCGATACGCGGCGCTTCGTACCTGTGACGATGTCAATATTGCAAGTATGTTCGCTGACCTGAACCGATTCATATTACCTAGTCCGGCGTGAGCTCACAGGGGGGCTGGTTACAGTGGCGGAGAAATCCGAATCTCGCTCCTCAACTCCGCGGGTACCCACCACTTTCGCACGGACCGAATCTCTCTGATTAGCCGCCCTCCTCCAGAAAGGTGTGGCGGAGTATCATTATAGTATTTAATGTGCTCTTTAATATGGTAGTAAAAATGTCCGATAAAAATTTAATAAAGTGTAACTTATAGCGCCTTGAAAGTCATGGAGGCAAAATGACTTTTTTTGGCCCCCCCCCCCTGTATATTGCCTGTTCCTCGGCAATCAGAGTCGACAAATGGATGATACCACACAAATTACAAGAAGGCCACCGTTGCTCGTCATAGTGCCAGACCCCGAGTAACTGTATTGTAGGGCAGTGCTGGGACACAAACAATACTGAGACCTGGGTTCAATCGCCCCATTCGCTCAACATCAAGCCGTTCGATTCCAACTGATAAGGTTAGTCGAGGGTACTCTCTGACGGCAAACGCTACAATGCTTTGTCATTTGCCGAAACTGGCATCAACAGCAACTTACCCACACTTGTTGAAAACACTGGGAGCGGGTCATTGGTGAAGGGAGGATTTATTTGACCTAAGGCTAAAATATTACTTTTTTATCTATTCCTTGTCGTTTTATTCAAATAAAACCAGCGGCACGTTTGAATGGGATGACCTAATACATAACGACCGACGCTTCTTTGGACAGCGATTTCTAATCTGCTTTCCAAATCTGCTAAACGATTCTCCGAACAAAGTTATGGAGGTTTGTAGGGCTGACCACTAGGACTGTAGGGTTCAACCCGGCCAATGCTCAACAAGTATACAAACGATGCGTGATTGAGCAACAAGTGTTGCTATGGCCTAGTGGATAAGTGATCGCTCTCATGTTTGCATGTTAATGGTTCAAATCCTTGGCTAGAGTATTGTTTTGCATTTTTTGAACATGTTCCCTGCAGTTTTTAAAACCATTCTTACGTAGCCAGGAGACCTAATCTTGCCGAAAAATGTTACTTCTGAAGGAATGGGGCCATTCTGAAGAGTTTGAGGGACACCTCTGAATGCCGTCATTCGTTCCGTTCCGGTGCCATCATTCGTTACGTTATGCTGTGTCGCCAAACTGGCGCCAAATGGCACGGCCGCCAAAAGTGATTGTCATACTTGTGATCAGGACCGTCTGTTACCAATGAGGTTTGAAATTTAGCGAAAATACTCCAATACCCACTGGGATTCTAGTCGAGGATAGTGCCAGCGGCCTTAAGGGATGTATTGCCCATGGTTACCCCACTGTTTCGAATTTTGGTCAAAATCTCAGACTTTGCTAAAAACTTGCCCCTATGGCTAATTTGATCCCCAGAACACGAATATCACACTCATTCAGCGCAAAAACGCTTGCGTCGTGCGCTACGGGCTCCTGCACACCTTCGTCCTCTCTAGCGTCACAGTCGCTCAAATAGACGGCGACCCGGAATGCGAACACGATATTCCCATGAGAAATGATTGTAGTGCTACTCTTGATGCCCTAGACAACCTTTAGTTTCGAATTGTGCGAATTTTGGGGTTTTCTTGTGCCTTACATACATGATGAAAATAGGGGTGACCAGGTCAAAAACCTGCACAACTCTGCTCAGTAACTCTGCTCAGAGAATCGTTTAGCAGATATGGAATGCAGATTTGTAATCAGCTTCCAAAAACATCAGATGGTATACATCTCATCTCGAACGGCCACTTCAACCAAATATCCTTCTCTTGGTTAGTTCCTTTTGCTAGTTCCTGCGAGGTTCCACGTCACACCATGATGACATCTGTGCGCCTTTGTTAGGTGTGAAGGGAGCCCTTGCTATTGCAGAGCTATACAGGAACTTACAAGTCTCCACAGGAGGCATCGGCAGTGATCGATGTGAGCTGGCAAAATGACCCCACCAAGCCGAAACAAGCCAATTCATAAACTACCTTAAATTCTTCGGGAATGTCTGCTTGATTGAGAGGGTACTCCTTAACAAATTTGATACTCTCAGCCATCACGAAGAATGCCTTATTCATTGTTTTCGCTATGATTGCAATGTTAAGAGTTCCAATCTGCAAAATGTAGTTTAAAGTTTTGAAAACCCACTGTAAAAAAATACTGCACCATTTGTTTACATCTCGTAAAAACTGCACCATTTGCCCTTTACATCTCGGTTACTCTATGAAATGTGAGCAAGTTTCTGATCGAAATCAGTTCCCAAGAGTAGTTTTACCCCTTGAACATGAATATCACATTCGTTTAGCACTGAAACGCCTGGCGTCGGCGCCACCAGCGCCAGCACAAAACAGGCCTGTTTTTGTGGTGGCGCACGAGGGAGGAATGCTAGGCTTATTCGCTGAAACCAACGCAATAATCGTGTTCAAAAGAATTTGAATACACTGAAAGGCACATTCTTGGCGAAAGATACCGTCCCGGACCACTTTCGTTTAGATTTATACGTAAATGACGAATAGTGGAGTTGTAAGGGGTAAATGGCGACAAAAAAGTTATTGGTTCGAGCGACTTATAGTAAACTACCAGTTACTCTCGCCAAGACAAACATATCACAACATATAGAAATGAACTTGCCTTGTTGATAATGCCACCGGTTTCCATGACACCTTCTGCACCGACCGCAACCATGTCAATTCGCTCCATTATATACCTACAACAACTAATCGGTAGAGCGTGGAGAACTTTTATTATGAAAACTGCTGTTTAACGCTGCTGTCTTGCCTCCAAAATGTCATAATAAGAATGCTGCTATGGGCAAAAGCCTCAACTTCAGGCAGTGTTCGAACCTGCACCTCACGCTTGAGGAGCGAGGGTGCCGCTATTCATTACGCACACAGGGCAGTCTCTTCCCTCTCAGGGTGCAGCACGGGTTCGAGT